TCATGAGTTCTTCAGCGGGCCAGGTGAATTAAAAAGGTCAATGCAGTCTTTCTTACGTCCTAAGACCCAAATAGCACATAACTGTCTGCCAACTGTATCACTAGCAGCAGCACAGGTGACTGATTCTAATAGAGAAAACAATTTTCAGACTCTCTTGGTGCAGACCTGGTATCCAATGACGGTCTGCACTACTTCAAGAGCATATAAACAGCTTATTGCTAGCTTTCTTTACAAAACCAGTGACTCAATGGATGGACTGCCTTTCAAGTTACATGATTTTGGCTATCGAGGCTCAACTTCTGTGGAGGTACGAGAATATTTGCAACTTCATCATAGTATTTCCATCTACTGAACGCTACCTCATTTCAGAGTGCAGGACTTGGTGGTGCTGCCCATTTAGTGAATTTTGTGGGTACTGATACCATAGCAGGTTTGCAGTTATGCAGGGAATATTACTCGTGCGAAATGGCTGGATTCAGCATACCTGCCACTGAACACAGGTTTTTCTTTAATTTCTTTTCCTTTAAGAGCAGGGATTTTATTAAAGAAGTATTCAGTACAATCACGACATGGACTCGTGAAGGCGAGGTTGCGGCATTCCGGAATATGCTGCGACAGTATCCAAAAGGTTAGTAGCGCCATCCTTTACAATTGCAGTCTTTTCGCTGCGGATGCAGGGGCGTGGGAGCGATTACAACGCGCGGCAACACGTTCTCCACCATACGTGATCGCTTGCCAGCTTCCACAATTCGTGATGAAGTGGGTGACGCCTAAACCTAGCCTCCGATCCGCCTCTGACACGCTCCAGAAGCCAGATCCACATCGCAGATCAAATTCTTCTTGCTCCAGTCGAAGGCATCCTCTTTAAGGGTCCATATCTGTTGTGTCCGATTCCTACGACGTTTTCCACGCAGTGTCATCGATATGGGGAGAACAGCTTCGTGAAGAAGTAATTGAACGTGGCAAACGTGGATGTCTCGTTATAAGACCTGACTCGGGTGATCCAGTTACGGTGCTGTTGAAGGTATTATTTTCATAAAGAACTCGCCATTGTGCTACCAAATTGTTTCTGCAATGATAACTTACCCTAGGTGCTAGGATTACTCGAGGAAAAGTTTCCAGTGACGGTAAATGGGAAAGGTTACAAAATTTTACCGCCCTATTTGCGAATCATACAAGGTGACGGCATCACTTATGAATCAATTGGAGCGATCCTTCAGGCATTACAAGTAAGCTGAATTGTATGTCCTTTTTTGTTCATCAGGTAGATGTGTTGTTGTAGAAAGGAGGGTGGAGTGCGGACAATGTGGTGTTTGGCGCTGGAGGTTCACTTCACCAACGACTAAATCGTGACACCCAAAAGTGTGCTTTCAAATGCAGCCATGTTGTCGTCAATGGTGAAGAGGGTGGTAGTTTAGTTTTAATGGTTTCCATGGCCGGTTGACATAATGACAGTGAGAGGCCCCTTGATATGCTAATAAAACTGCTTTTCTTATCGCTAAGGGTTCTCCTATTCTTTCTTTGTCCTCCCCCCACCTTTAGTTCGCCTGCATCTCTTTTTGTGGAACTGTCGTGGCACTTAAGCCACTTTTCCCCATCGTTTTATTATAGTTTTTTCCTTTTGTTTTGTTGCCTATCTCCTTAATATACCCCTTCCCTTGCTTTGGTTCCGTTTACATTTCGCATTATTTCATAATGCTCTCAATAGATATTCTTTCTCATGCTCCCGGACCAAACCTTTCGCGTGCGATTCTGTCCGTTTCTGAATTTTCTGAGAGACGGGCCAGACGATCGATAATTGCGTTGCGCGCGCGCGCGCGTATCCGTGCGGCTAACGTCAGCAAAATTTTGAGATCGCACGAACAGTTTCTTCGATCGGAGCAGCGAACTCTATGAATTCAGGCAGAGGCAAGACGCGTTCCGCATCGTGAGTAGTGCAATATGGGGTTAGTCGTCCGCCCCGTCGCACAACCAAACGAAACAACGAAAGGCAGGAGTAACTCATCTCATGCTCATCAGGCAGCAGGACACGACGTCAATCTCGTCATATCCATAGCGGCGCATTGTTACGATTCTCTGTTTTGTCAGAGCTTAGCCGCCAGTGCTAGCTCGGGCTTAGAATCTTTCGCTGGGTTTTTTGCTTCAGTAAAGGTTTTTGTATGGCTGACCCACAGAGCTCACTTAGGCACTCGTTTCTCCTCTTTCCCGTTTTCTGGGTACTAACCAGAGGTATTAACCCAGTTTTCCTTATCTTCCTCTCTCACTCTTTCTCTGTTTTATTGTTGTTCGGTATTTATTTGTTCTTCTTGTCTCTCCTCAATCTTCCTCTTTCATGCTAAGCGCAAAACACATTCCTGTGAGGTAGTAGGATGATCACAAATGATTTCGGCTTGGAAGGAAGAATCTGCACTTTCGCTATTTCTTTTTTTTTTGGTTCATTTTGACTAGCAAGTCTCGCTTCGGTCACACCTGTAAATTCCCTTGGAGCTGCGAAATTGTTCGGTTGAGGCGCTTTGGTCGCTGAAATTCACAGGTCTTCACTGGCCTACACAAGTCTAGTTGAGTACCTTCTTTGCCCCCCACCAAACCGAACTGGCGGCATAAATACTATAAGTCATTTTATTAATTTACAGAGAGATGTCTATAAAAATCCGGTAACTGATGAAGGAAAGCGTTCTAAGAAAGGATACCTGACTTTGCAACGGAGTTCTTCTGGAAATTTGGAAACTGTTCAAGAGGGATTAGGAAATCCTGATAAGGTGACTGTTCTTCTGTTACTCTACTGACTCTTTCAATCTGCCACTCCTCTTTTGTTATATTCCGAGTTTGTTTTTTTCAATTCTGTAAGTTTGATATGTTCTTCAGCTCTCATGTTTATCAAGACATTGCTTCCAGAGGACTGAATCTTTTCAGGACCTTCTTTTGATCTTGAAAATGGTCATCTGCTGATCGATTGGACGCTCGATGACATTCGGAAGAGGGCAGAAATCGATATTGTCAAGGAAGCAAGAAAAAGCGAGACAACTGTGAACGGTGTAGCAGGCGACCTCTGATGAATACATTTAACCCGTCGTTTTTTCCTATAGAAGTCCGTAGATTAGATAGGTAGTTCAGTCATTAACAGGCTCTTTTCGAGCAATTTGAAGCCATCAGAGGGGGTTTTTATCCATTCGGTTTTGAACAATTATTAGTGCAGTATTTATTTATGTCACCTACTCCCTTATGCGCTGGTACTGAAGCTCAGAAAACAGCGGCCGACTGCCCATTGAAAACGAAGAGATACACTATTTTCTGGGTTGTAGGCAAGGCTTTTCCTGTCGGTGGGTAGAAGTTTCGGAAAGTACGCCCCCCACTCTCCTAACGACGAGCGAATACGGCCCCGCCCCTAGCAGTTCCCGGCGATGTTGATAGGACGCGTCAACCATGAAAAGATTCTCGTTCTCAGTCTCAGGCTAAATACCACCTTATCCCCTCATCCCCCTACCCCGCGGACCAAACACGACCCCTAGGCATTCTCCAACATACGACGTGCCCTGAAACTGTATGACCCCTTCCCTATCCAACCCGCCATCATCGTAAGTTTTCCCTATTTCCTACCACTTTTCGCAGTTTCGCTGGAAAACTGGCTCCAAGCGGACGCGGGAGGGAAGGAGGGGGGGGGTGCTCCATTTCCTCTTCAGTCAGGGTTCAGCATTGTTGGAAAAATCTTATCACAGAGAGACGCACTCAGTCCCTAAGGATGGGGTCGTATTTGCCTAGGAGGGAATCGTATTGCGTTGGGAAAACTTTCGCGACGAAATTTCTTCTGATTGTTGACTTTTCTCAGTTTTTCTCATTCTATTCCCCATCCCCTCCTGCTGATGCAGCGCTACCACAAAACTATTATTTCCGATAGACAGTTGGCATCAGTTACTCACTGGTGACAACCCGCCTCCCCCTCCTTCCCTCCTGCGTCCGTTTGGCGCCAGTTTTCCAGCGAAACTGCGAAAAATGATAGAAAGTTGGGAAAACTTACGATGATGGCGGGTTGGGTAGGGAAGGGGTCATACAAACTGAGAAATTTTGGATGGTATTTTTGATCATCACGGTTTTGTACCCTATCTTCCATACCGTTATGGCTGCAATGGGCAGCCGTTCGCAGGTATTCAATGCGGTTTCATGCATACGCTGTCTTGGCCCACTGTATCGCATAAATTTGAAGGGCCCTTGTAGTTGCGTTGCGATTGTATCCGAAATTTTTATTCGTTGTGAAGATGTGTATCTCTTTCTTGCCAGGCATTTCCCTCTCGATCTTACTTCGCCTATGATCTTTTCCCATTCTTACTTGGTACTCGACCGATTAAGGTATAGGTGCATGTGCTCTAAATACGAGGAGTTTTCTTGGGACCGTTCGGCTTGGGAGGGTGGGACATTTTGCACTTTCGTTCTTCTGCTGGTTATTGAACTAGTTAACTAACAGGTCTGAATTTGGTGAGATCTGTAAATTTCTGCAAAGTTGCGAAGTGGAGCAAGTGAGCCACTCTAGTTACAGAAACTTGCAGGTCATCACTGTTAAAGCTTCGCTTAGTACTATTTGAAGTGTCCACCAAGCCGAATGCTTTACGCTTCCGTGTCCGTAATGTTTCGTGATGTTTTTCTTCTTAATATTGTAACGAATGTCGGTCGAAACTAGAAATTCAACCTGTCTCCACTTGATTACCATTAAGTGCTTAGGAGTACGTGTGAATTGTTTAAGAAGAGTATAGCTTTTATGATCCAGAAATAGACTAATTTTTAATTGTTAAAATCGTTGCCTTCTCTAGTTACTTATTATAATAAACATTTTTAGTTCCACAAATGCATCATCTTACTAATGTGGTTGACTTTTCCACTTGCCGATTAGTAGCATTTTTTAAAGGGTCGTTTCCATTTTTTTGTGTGAGGTCCCATTCTGAGATTTCGTTCGCTGCCGAGCATGTCAAGGGGCTGGGATTGTCGGCGCTGTATGGGAGCGCTCAGCGTTGAGAGTGAAGAAGACAGCTCGCGCAATATTCTGTAGTCTTAGGAAGGGCTTGCCTCGCTGGTGCTGCTTTTCTGGTTCTCGTGAGCACGACCGTGGGATCACAGGAACTGGTAGAATTAACAAGCTGCCTGCAAAGAGTGCTGGGAACTACTGAACGAATATATCGGGAAATAGCGGGAACAGCAGAAGAAGGGTGCTTTGAAAAGCTTTGCCAAGTAGCAATTTAGGAAGAGAGACTCAAAATATCCCGAAAGGAACTGGGGAAGGTCGGTCTTAACTTTCTGAGCGTGGGCCTCATCCTGCTATATGTAAAGGACAATGTCTGTGTGTCGGTCCGGAAATTCACCATCACATGAAGAGCCAGTTGGAGGGGCGGGTCAAGGGTGGGTTGGGTAGGGCATGGGCCAAGATGTACGGAACACACATGAACTGAGCTAAGCCCCGCCCACTGTGGGCGGGGCGTGTGCACAGCCAGGAGCCTACTTATTTCAGGAATTCGTAACTCGGTTCCAGATGAGCCCGGAGAGCGGGAAAAGAGGGACACGATAGGAAATGGGTAAGCGCTCGAAATGATGGGACGCCACATTGGGCGGGGACTGCTACAATGGGCACCGCCCAATGCTCGCTTTGAAAATTTCGAAAATTCGTAATTCGGTTCCAAAAAATCCTGCTATCTGCGAGCTTCACTGCTTTATATAATTTTTGTAGATTCTGCTGGAGAGATGCCAGAGTGATTGATTCACCTCTGCTCCTTTCACCTTTTCGCATATGATTATTGTTAGTCTGATAATACCCTAGCTTTTAGTTCATGTCGTCGCAATCAGTCGAGAGCGATGTCAGGGGGGTGGGGGTGGTGTGAGTCTGCTCTGCCTTGCTTTACCAATGGTGATCGGTCAGTAATCGTTTTAGGAAGAAAAGAACTAGTGGTGGAAACGCTGCGCTTGATCCCGGGTGTGTGGCGATTCTATCGTCGATGATAAGTAGGTCGCCGCGCTGGTGGGCGCCGCGTACGAGTCCTGCTGCGTCGTGCTCGTTGAAATTGTTAAAATGATCATCAAGCCATATTGTTTATGTTAATGTGATTATCATGTTATTTAATCAGTATTCCCTTGTCATGTTAATCCTGTACTGCTTTTCCCATTTTCCTATGATGATCAATGATTGTTTTTTCCGCATTCAAAAGTAAAGGGGTGTAAGACTGGTCCCACGTTATTTGCTCAAAATTACTGATCCAATTTTGGGCTTTTCGGAACTTGTGAATACGCGGTCTTCGAGACTCATTTGTATGTCGGTAATGCAACTCCGGAATTGTCGCACCGCGCCGCCGCGCGAGACGCCGCGACGCGATGTGCGCGACGTGACCTGACTTGCCGACGATAGAATCGCCCGGGTCCCGTTCTTACTCCATGCCCCCTGACATCGCCCCCGGCTGACTGCGACGGTATCCATTGTAACTAAGAAACTTTTTCTCCGAAGCGTCCACACTTCTCAGTGTCCTATGGAAAATGTTGCGAAGTCGACAATTCACCTGCGCTTTCATCACTGTACGACATGCTTCAATCAAGGAAAAGTTGAAAAATTACAAATTTCCTGAACTGAAGAAAGAAGATTGCGAACAAGTTCGTGACCAGTATAAATTGCGATCTCTTCAGATCGGACAGTTTCAGAAGCCTTTTTAGAAATATATCTCCGGTTGGGGCCCAGGTGGTCAGAAGGTGAATACGGCTCAGAACGCTGTTCAGCTGCGGCATTTGCCAACGGGGCTCGTCGTCAAGGTTTGTGGATCGACCACTTTTTTTTACACATCTCCTTTGGTTGGCTAGATGTTACAGCTAGAGCATGCGCTTGAAAGCCCCGCCTTGCATGGCTCGGATTTCAACCGAAAGTTTTTCTCCAAATTTTTTTGAGCTAGAAAGTTCTTTAGGTGCACGAATCACGGCTGTTGCCAAAAAACATCGAAATCGCCTTCGAACGACTCAAGCACGCTTTGGATCGGCACATAAATGGGGACGAGTGCTACGAGGTCGTAGCAGTTCATTATTTACTTGTTTTCCACTTATTATGGAAAGTAGAGGGCGGAAAGCCACAGAGAATTCTTCAAAACTTCATAGGAAGAGACTAAAAGAGGTTGAGGAAGTGAAGGACGAGTCCGAACTCGGGTGAAAATGTAGAAAATTGTAAATATTTGGGCGCAACTCGTCCTGGGGGGCACCGAATTGGTGCTCAGCTAAGCCGTACCTGTACAGACCATCTTGTGAGGACTTGTGAATTCCTGTGACCAAACTGGCACCATTTTGCAGCTTTACAGGAGTTTACCGTTCTCTACCGAAGCGAGACCTGTTATCGCTGTGACCTGGCATAGAGAACTAGCCAATGACCCCTTTTAATGTGTATCGTAGATTTGTATAAATAACCACTGTTATTGCATGTTGTTGATATTTCAGGCTCAATAAATTGTCTTGGTTTTCACCGAAACGGACTAAAGTACTTGATGTTGTCGATGTTTCTGAATATTTAGAGGTTTTAGATGAACCAGCTTTGCCTCTGGTAATAACAGAAAACCTCCAGAGCGGGAAGTTGAAAAGTCAGACGGGTCAGCCCTGCTCGGAAACTCAACGAGTCGATCCCTATGATCTGAGCCACCCGAGCGTTTCATGCATCGATTTGAGTCAGAGTCACCTGCACAGATGAAAACGGCGCTGTTCAGTTCAGGGGAGACATTTTGCACTTTCCCTAGTTACCTTTGCTGGGGTATGTGACAAGAGGATCGTAATTCGCCGCGCTGCTGGCGTCGCGTGCGACGTCTCGCCTGCAAAGGACGATGGTTTCAGGTAGTAGATGGCGACAACATGCAATTACGGACCGAAAACAGTAATGACTGTCCACGATGACGGGGTCTACATGAAGTCCGGTGCTCCATTCGACAGGTTAAAACGAGTTATGAAAACGCCGCGCCCATCGCCGCGCGTGGCGGTGCGGCAAATTACGATCCTCTACCGTCTCCCCCTTTGCTAAGCCGCGCTAGTTAGCACGTCTGTCTCATCTTGCTTACTAGGGAAGGTCGTCAGGTCGAAGTGGCCATTTGTGATGAGATGTAGATCACTAGACGTGGTTTTGGACGCTGATCTTGAATCTGCCTTCAAAATTTGCAAAGCGATTCTCTGAACGGAGTTATGGAGCCGCGTTTACCACGCAACAGGTCATGGGATCGGATCCCTGCTGAGCTTAACTTTTTTGCTTGTTGCGCAAACGTGGCAAAAAGTGATTTTGCCGTCACTACTACTTCAGTTCTCACCTGAGCTTGTCTGAAGAAAAGTTTGCCTCCATTTATTACTGCGCTTGGACTCCTTGTAGAAGCACTGTAGTGCACTGTAGTCTACAAGGAGTCCAAGCGCAGTAATAAATGGAGGCAAACTTTTCTTCAGACATCAGGTGAGAAAGTACTGAATAGATAGTGACGGCAAAACACTTTTTTATGCCACGTTGCGCAACAAGCCAAAAAAGTTCGTTAAGCTAAAGCAGGGATCCGATCCCATGACCTGTTGCGTGGTAAACGCGGCTCCATAACTCCGTTCAGAGAATCGCTTTGCAAATTTTGAAGGCAGATTCAAGATCAGCGTCCAAAACCACGTCTAGTGATCTACATCTCATCACAAATGGCCACTTCGACCCAGGGCACAGCATTCGATGGGGATTTTGGTCGAGCTTTTACGACCCCCCCTTTTTTTTCAGGGGCTGGTACGACCCCCCCCCCATGCTCGTACCGCGATGCGGACTGGCTGAGGCTGGTTGTGTAAGCTTGAGCACCCATAGTTGATCTGACTACCCGCTAATGAGGTTCATTGCAACCTTCCGCTAATGTGTGTGCCTTGAAGGGCAAAAAAAAGAGGAGAATTAATCCTGAAAGAATACAATGGAAAGGGACTGCTCATCTGTTGATGCCTCACACTTGAAATTTCGGCTCCATTTTGCTCAAAATCTCTCCTCTTTGGGTAAATTTGGTGAGATAGCGGGAAAAAAGTTTCCGCTCTGGCTCGTTGACCTCTTATTATTTTTGCGAGCAAGAAGTTTACGTTCCAGCTATAAGAACCATTGGCTCCGATTTTTTTTTTATCTACGGGGCATCAAGTTGTAATGTTTGGTCGAGCGAATATTGTCGCGCTTCCATGCGCACCCATTAATTTCACAAGGGATTCTTTCAGCAGCAGTACAGAATGCCGCGTGGGCGGTGTCAGATAACTACGTAATTGGCGCATGTCTTGTGCGGCTTGTGACAAGACAATCGTCAACCATCGTAATCTACCAGTCTGCATGGAATCCGTGCTCTACTCGATAGGCTCATGCGAACTGTGAAAAGCCGCACCCACACACAGGACGGTGAATTCTCTTCACCATCCCCTCGAGCGTTCAAGAGAGGATAGAAATCTTAGGGGATCATGCCGCTCCAGCATTAGAAGAAATGCAATTATGATAGCGCGACCAAATCTTCGAGGAACACAGGTTTATTATACATGGTTCAAGAATAATAATAAGAAAAACATAACAAGGTGATGATCACACGGAAGATTCCTTTTAGTGGCAGTAATTTACACAGTAGCAGTCGTGGGGGCTGATCCGTCGTAAGCCAGATCTCAACTCCACGGTCTAGTTGTTGCCGACGTAAGCTCCAAATACATGCGGCTATACAACCGCAAATGCAGAGCAGAATTCCAATGCAAAAAATGACAATGAGGACACTGGAAAGAGCAAATGAGCCTGAAACCTTTGGTGACTTCGCAACCTCTGCCAAAATCGCGAACAAAGTTAGACAGTTATGCGGCGTATTTTGGGGATAACTGGGCCGTCTCAGATACCATTGAACATAGCGAAAGTGCGGGATGCCTCCCTCCCCGCTCAAGTCCCCCCAAGCCAAACAGCGCTTGTAATGCCGCGACAATCTTATTGAGCTTCGCGTCTCCATTTCAGAATTGCTTTCGATCTGCGCAGTGTGCCCCATCAAGGCCAGTAGGGCGAAACGGCCTGCGTGACTGCCATAAGTTCGTGCATGCAATTACATGCGTAATCGTGAGGTCTGGGCTTAGTCTCGTCATTTGCCCACAGATTCCAGTACCCTTGGATTTGACTTAAGCTGATGATGAGAAATCGATTCACAAGATGATGAGCAAAGCGCTGTTGCGCCAGCAGGATTCAAACCAATTCCCAACACTTTCTACGTAAAGTGCCGCTTCCACTGCCCACCATTTGCGGGCCACGTAGTTAGATATAAAGCCGTGTTGTATTTATCACTTCGATTAGCTCAGAATATCTTATGTCACGGCAGGAAAAGCTAAGATACAGGCACAAAAATCAGACCCAAACGTGACATCGAAACGCCGAATTCTTATCGCTTTACCGACGAGTGCGCCATCCATAGATTGTGTCTTTGACAGAAATTTGCCGCGTTGGGAAAAATTTTTCCCTCATGTTAAACTTGTTGCGGTTTTTCTCGCTATCAACATTTTCTATAACCCCGCTCCTCTGAGCTGCCCCGTGACGCCGCCAAAAAATTCCTTGTAACTACTATTTACTATAGTGAGCAATAGTAGTTTCGTTTTTGACGCACCACCCCCTCCCCCCCACTGCCGCGAAAAATGATTTGAACGAGGAAAGTACCGAAATTTCAGAGAACTCGCGGAAAAAAAACTGGTAGCAAGCTGACAAACATCTAGGAAAGTGGTAAGCTTAGTTCTTGAGAAAGGGTAGGCGTCTTACAAGACCCCTCTTCAGGTAGGAAGTACGCACACGAGATCTTCTTTCAAGGGGGATCTTACTGACACTACCATTTCACACATCACGATACTGTACCCTGGGTGTACAGGCGGCTAGCTCCCTTGAGGAAGCAAGAGAAGAGCTGGTGAGGACACAGATCCACCGACAACTTTCCTGTTATCCAGGGCTACCCTATCTCCCCATTCCTTCCTAGATCGACAGCTCCAAAACTACGGTTGCCTTACTGCGAGTCTCTGATCCCCCCCCCCTCAAACAAAAATCAACAAAATCCTAGCAAACTTTGAGAAAGAGAAAGTTCGGTAAGATGGAGATTGGAAAGGGGCAGGGCGCGGGCCCCGTCATACTGACGGGATGAAAATTTGTATGGAAGGGTTTCGCCAGAACCTTCCAACTCAAGGAATGCCCTTGGGACAATTGTTTCAGAGGGACTGTTCCCGTATGCCCGAGACAGACATGGAGTTCCTGCTATAGGTAACTCGAATGAACAGCTTCTGATCTTTTCTTTCTTTAGGCCATCCAGGTAGCTTTTGGCCTTCCATGTTTCCATCTTCCAGGACCAGGTACTGGAGCTATCTGCAAGCACACCGAAGGCGCTGACAGGCAATTAATATGGCAACGCTATTCATGCCAGTCGCACATGGTCGTGGTTGTTCGTGCAACTCCAATAGCGCTCATAGGCAAAGATAGATGCTCCAGCGTTGTTCGGCTTCGGGAGGGCATTTTATGTTCTCGCTCGTTCCTTTTGCGAATTCCTCTTGAATAATACGTCACATCTTGGTAAGACTCTTGTAAAGTGAAAACGAAGCACCTGCTTTTTGCGTAGCTTCGCAGGTCTCTATAAGACGCAGCGGCAGCGCTCGATGCGAACGGCCAAAGGCCCCCCACCAAGCCGAACTGCGTCCATCCTTCTTCTTCGTCTTCAATTCGTTCTTTCAAATCACAGTTTGAAAAACAAAGCTGTACTCACATCACCCAGGTTTCCAACTGGATGCAGCAGTCATAGGGATTATAGTCACAGCATGTCCAATGATAGAAAATCGTGTCAGGTCCGCATCGGCCATATCTGCAAGTACCGAACGGATTCTATGGCATTCAAGAAACGAAATGACACTTACCCGTATCCACCGATGTTGCCGTAACCGCCACCGACACCGAGTACGCTCGACAATAAACCACCACCACCTGGGCAACCGTATATGGCAGCAGAGTTCCGTATTAAAGAGAACACAATCGCACTCGATAGAATGGATTCCATTCGGGTAGGTAACTCGGGCGTCTTCTCTTTGCTTTCCTTCTATCTGCAAAGATTCTTGATATTTTGCAGTCAAGGAAGCCCAAAGAAGACATGTAAGCGTGCTCTTTAATTTCGAACTGATCTACAAACTTATTCGCTGCGAATGCTGGGGCTTGTCGAGGTGGCCAGGGTTAGGCGCGACGCCAATCTGTTCTCCACCAATCATTGAAGCGAGCAAGCGACAATAATTCGTGGAAAGTGCCACTCCGCCGCTGCACCAAACCCAGCCCCTTGAAACGCTCCTGTCAGCAGCGGACACGACTGTTGTCATATTCATAAGCAGAGGCGTTCATGGCATCGTCACTGATTTCACCAACTCTGCAGAACCATCAGATCGCTACGTTGCTGAAGATTCACTCCAGCCCATGGGCTGCGGTAGGCGTGGCTGCGTACTTTAATCGAACAAAGGCAGTGGTTTCGCTTTGAGTAGGACAGCTTTTATTTATAGAAAATTGTGAGGCACGATCTGTCCAACACAACAATATGATAGTGTCTAAATGAAATACCGCTGCAAATAATGACAGTCGCTAGCATGCATTAGGACGGGGCGGTACAGCCGCGCTGCACTGTGACGCGACGGCGCTAGCAGCTCGCTGACGTGGACGGCAGAACTGAGTGCGATGGAAATCGACTGCGCCGACACAAAATTCCTACTTTTTCAGCTCTTGCAAGCTGTCCTAAAGTGAAAGAGAGGAGTTATTCTTGAAAATTTAGTTGAATTGTACATGGCATCTGATTCTATTTCAGCATTTATTCGAGGATGGATTGCATTCTTCAGATTCATACCAACTCCAACTCCATGTCCAATCAATGAAAGCTACGCCTGACCCAAGCGTCTCGGGAATGATAGTACTCAATCGAGCGCCAAGGTGTGGCCGAGCATATTTTATCTGCAACTGAAAAATCCGAGGCCTATGCCGCTCAAAACTGCATAATTGCCATCTACTGGAAAATATAATGCTAGGAAGCGGCGCAGTTGATGCCCGCAGCTATGTGCGCACAGAGCGCTGTCAAAAGAGAGAAATGAGGCTTAGTTTAGACTGTTTTGTTTGATAACTGCTGTTTTACGCCGCAGTGCGCGATACGAAAGTTATCACAAGAATGCTGAGTTGTGGGCAAAAGTCGGACCACGGGCGGGACTCGAACCCGCAATGCTTCATGCTTTACCAGGCAGTTGCCGTTACCAACTTACGCTACCGGCCACTTTGACACTTCTCAGCTCAATGGCTATTTGTGCCATTGCCTTCGAGCACTCACACGTTCAACGTGATGAGCCGGTTAGCCGATATCGGCAGTGAACCGCAAGGCTGAAGGCTTTTTACAAGTTTTAGACTGTTTTGTTTTGATAACTGCTGTTTTACCGTGTGAGTGCTCGAAGGCAATGGCACAAATAGCCATTGAGCTGAGAGGTCAAAAGTGGCCCCGGTAGCGTAAGTGGTAACGCAACTGCCCGGTAAGCAGAAGATGCGGGTTCGAGTCCGCCGCCCGTGTCCGATTGTCCGCACAAACTCAGCTATTCTTGTGAATATGAGCTCGCGCGCAGCTTTTCTACCCAACTGACTCGCAGTCTCTTCTCTAATGCAGTATATAACCGGTCACAACTAGTAAAAAAAAGAGCGGTGCTAGGCCCACTGCACGCCTCAGCTGACAACGCGACCCGCCGACAAATGCGAGCGAAATCTCCAATGCCTGCGCACAATTGAAATGTTTGTCAAAAAGTCTTAACCAATGAAAAGCCTATCGCAGATCGTTTTAATTAGCAAAACATAATGCAGTTTGTCACGTCAATGGCGATAGCATATCACAAGAACCGTCAAAACAATGCCGAGCGGACTGCTTGGCCCGTGCCAGAAAGCGTAAGCACTGAGGGCGCTATCGTTTGCTGCAGTCGTGCTTACATTACAGACCAAGACCACTATTCACACTTGACAGCTTGATTGCTGTTTCATTCATCCATTTCTACTCGGCGCTGCATGAAATGGTCACAGGGTATATGATATATTTTGAAATTACTGCTATCAGGCTTCTTGGCTCTAGCCGTATGGTGAAACGGGTTAGTGTTTAATTTAGGAAGAAAACCCCACGAGGTGGGTCATCCCAGCTCTCTTCAAATCGCCCCGACTGATTGTGACGATATCAGCTGTATGGCCGAACTCAGTTTCAATACGAGCCAGGAATTGCAGTCACTCTCCCTCCGAAGGAGGGCCTGTGAGGGGGCATGAATTGGGGCGGCCACGGCAGCCTTTTCCACGACTGGCGCCGTACTGGCCCACAATTGTTGCGGGCTTACAGTGGCATCAACGGGGGGGGGGGCGTGCTCTCCCTCCACACGTCCCGTTGTTGGCAGCGAGAATGACTGTACTGGCTTTTCGAAAGGAAAAAAATGAGGATACAAGAAAGATAGCAATAAGCGTGTCAAAGTGAAACGCGGAGTCAGGAACCCTGAAAGAGGGAAATTCGATGAGCACGTCGTCTATCAAGGCGTGCCAGCAATCACGAAGGCGGAAAAGTCCACAATGGGACCTTTCAGAGTTGAGAAATTACAGAGCACGAGCGTTCAGAGGTTCAGAAGAGATTGAGGATACTGTTGGCAGCACTCCGAGGTTGATGAGGTGAGCGCAGGTATCATGCATTGGACCAGAAGTGGAATGTGATAACCACGTGCCCATTGCGGATCGTTTACTGCCACGACAAAATGGCTACCGGTTCCAAAACTGTCGGCAATTTGAAAATATGATATTCTATGTGCCGATTAGAAATACTGAAGTGAAGTTCTCAGCACACGGAAACGTTCAAGGCAGGAGCTTTATACACCAGGCATGGAACCCTCTACAGGTTCATCTGGTATGGACGCAATTAGTCGGGACGGAGTCAGGAGGCGTGGAATGAGCCCACCCCTGCCAGTATTTTTCTGCCATTAGTAGTCGCTTCAAGATGACAACCTGTAGTAGAAAACGGGGCCCATTTCGTGGCTCCTGACGTCGACCCGACTGAGCAACTGTATCAAATGCAAGCTTTTCTCGACGCTTTTCTATGGCTCTAGATGGATAGAGAAGGTCACTAAGAAATGGAAGTGCAGGAAAACATGGTCCACGGTACGGATTTTAATTGTTATTATGGCCTATACTACCCTACTATCCTCTCTGTTAAGCGCTATGTAAAAATAAGCCCTTAGCAGAGAAGATTTTCGTGTTTCGAACCAAAAAAGTAAACAGAGAAACCAAAACGAGAGGAGAGCAGTCGAATTGACCGTGAGTTGTGTTGTGAAAGTGTTACTCGAACCCGCGGGTACTTGAAGATTCACGATGCCACGAAAACAAATATGTATAGACGGTATACGGGTTTGTAGAGGAGTCAACGAGACGCCTAGGGTCAGCGCAAAAAATAGGCACCTGATCAAATAAAAGCGATTCCATGTTCTCTGAAGGATTTCTGGAATCTTATGGCCATAGGCGCAATCGAATTTATAGCATTGAAGGCATTGTTTTAGGGATATCCGTGCAAGATACATCGTTGTTGGGGAATCCCCAACAGGGGAGTCGTATTTGGCCGCCAGGAGAGGGAGGGGGTCGTATTTAGGCTGAGAAAAATTTATTTTGATAGTTGATTTTTCTCGCTTCGGACGTTCAACGGGGGAGAGGGCGGTCGTAGCTGCTCATTGTTGGAGGGGCGGGGGGTCGTATTTACTGTTTGGTCTTCTGGTTGGCTTCGACTTTTTTTTCTTTTTCGGTGATTTTCCTGTTTCATGCGTACTATACACCCGCACCCCACGCCCCCCTTCGACAGCAAAATTTTGGGGAAAAGTTGGGAAGCTTTCGGGAAATTCTGAAAGAAGTGGCAGCAAGTTGAGGAAAAAATCTGACAAAATCGGTATTATGAGGGGAGGGGTCGTATTGGTCCTCATGGATTTTTCCTGTCACATGTGCTATTACCCTCCGCCCCCATCCCCCCCGTTTTCGATCGGCTGCGGCTCGGATGAGGAGGCATAGAAAGGCCGGAAGGGAGGGTTCTTATCAACCCCCCCCCAAGGGGGGGGGGTCGTACGGACTCAGCCAAAATCCCCAATCAATGATGTGCCCTGTATTCGTGAGCACGATATGTTGGGGATCGTGAGGGGTGTCGCCTTCTGCCGTCTCTGCTTTTAGGGGGAGCCTTTTCAGTTGCAGTTTTCTTTTTGGAGGGAAAGAGGAGGGACTTTGAGAGAAAAAAAGTGATGGAAAAACGGTAGGAAAGGGTGGGGAAAGTTAGTAAGATGGTAGGTAGGAAATGGAATGGGATTTGAACCAGAGCAGGGAAATTGAGGCGGGGTTTCTATTCTGCGAAAAATGTCTTCAACACGAGGCATGCTCTGCCTGTGAGCAATGGAAAAGTCGTAGAAAGTCCGTAGCCATAGGTTAAGGCTCATTAAGTTAAACACTTCGTGAATGTTCTTAGAATACACACAGAATGTTTCAAACACTCCTCATTCATCACGATGAAAAGTTCTGAAGAAGTAAGCGGAAGCGCCTCTCAGCTTTCTTCCAGCGCAAGTGCAGCTCTCACAGCCGGGCCCATATTTGTAGAAGTCATTGTGGAATCGCCGAATGGTTCTTCTTACCATCTGTGACTACTCGCATCTCATTCAGGGCACGTCGAAAGTCGGGGATCCCATCGAGGAGGGTCATACTTGGTCACTGGAGGGATAGGGGTTGTAATTGCCTTCAAGTAAAGAGTTTCCGTTCATTGACTCCCCTCGATTTCTGCTGCTTCAAATGCCAATCGGGTCACGCCAGAAAGGTGGAAAGGTTTCCTGAAGGTCATCACGGTTTGAACTAGAACAGTGTCCATATTAGGGTTGCGCGATATGCCCGCTACTAGGCAAAAATAAAAGTGAGAAAATCAAAGGGAACGAAGTGAACTGCACAGCCTTTTTTCCAAGTGTGGTTGAAAAAATGGGACCAGTTTCTGGAGAAGCCCATTTC